TGAACTCTATATATTGGATGTGTATTCAAAAAGGCCATAAGTATTGAAACCGTATAAATAAGCTTTTTGAAAAAATATGTAGGGATAGAAAATAAAAATATTCAGTGAACCAGTTCTGTTTTCTTGTCAAATACTACTTTTCACACTCTCAGGAAATGAATGCTGAAGAGCTGTGCTGGAGACGAGGAAATAATATGAGATAACAGAACTGTGAAGCTGTTATATGTCCCAAAGAAATCAATTATTCAATGGTCAGAACGCTGATAGAAATTCAGTATTCAGGTTAAGTAGTTGTTTCTTCAGTTAAGTTAAACTGACTTTTGCTTTGTATGTAAATAAAAAATGTAGCTGACAAGAAAGGAAAAAGACCGCAGATGTTTTTCCTACAGTGTCTGAAAATGAAGGCTATTTAGAAATGCATGGTGCTGAAAAACAGATCCGCAGCACAGTGCCATGATATTAGAGAATGTGCCCTTATTTTATTTGTATTTCAGATCCTGTGCAACCTTCAGCTGCAAAAGACATTTCCATCTTACAGTGAAACCTTATTAAAGGAAACCTGTACAAAGAAAGTATGCGAGCAACCATGTGTCACCTCTCCTACTGAAAATACTAGTTGTTTGGCTGTCAGATTGATTCTGTGGTTTCAGAGCTGTGTAAATCACTTTCCTGAAATAATTATGTAGATTAGAAGCTTAGACTTTACTCTGACCTTCTAGCCTTCATATTGGCTCCAGGCCAATGACTAAAGCCACAGAATGTCAAGGAACTAGTAATGGTAGAAGGAGGTCAGCATTAGGGTCCCTGTGTTTCCTTTAGTGCAGTTTCCTTTAAAGGAGAACTATGAGGTGAGTGCTTTTCACTCACCTCATAGTTCTAGCCGACCTGTGACAATGAGACTGTCACAGGTCGGCTCAGTAGATCGGGAGGTGAGCGAACACATACCGGGTTCGCTCACCTCTCGATCCTGTCACGGCTCTCTGCCGTGACAGGGGGAGGGGCTGGATTCCCCTCTCCGATCTGCCAGCGCTGACTGGCGGAACGGACGGGGGAGGGGGCGGGTACAGCTGGCTCTGCCTCTAGATAGGCAGAGCCAGCTGTCACTCACGCAGCTGGGCGGATCCCGTCGTCTAAGTCGGGATCCGCTCCGGCTGCGGCGTCTCAATATACCGCGAGCTGTAGCTCGCGGTATACTGAGCTTAGGGTAACGGGAGGACGCTAGTTTGTGTCCTCCCGTTGCCCTAAGGAGAACTATGGGGAAAAACACTGACCCCATAGTTCTCCTTTAAAGCTAATAAATGTTTATTCATACTTACATTGTTCCATCTTGACCCATTGGAAGGAGGCATATTTTATACCTAGTTGGGCCACGTGAATCCTGTAGCCAGAGCTACTACAGTGCTTTACATGGATTTTCCGTGCCCTATATTTCACCGTGCTGCTCTGAAAAGTAGAAGGTCACTTGCTCGGTACACTGGCCATTTAGGCCTGGTTCCCACCTGCACGTTCTGAGAACCGTCACACGTTTTCATGTGCAATCGCCAAATCAATAGGGTCATGAGGCAAACACAGCTCGCATAAGTGCACGAACACGCATTCCCAGGACGCACAGGTGTGATCCAGGCCTTTGAGAACACTTAGTATTTTTATTTATGAATACAAAACATTCTCTGATGGGACAAAGGGCGAATTGTGGCATCACTGTCCTTCATCCAATCAGGGAACACCATGTATAAACCTGTCTACTATAATAAGAACATCTAGTGTTATTATAGTTCTGGATCACATGACCCAATGTCTCTACAGCCTTTTACTTTGATTGAGGACTCTACTGACATTGGTACCAACAATGCAAAGACCAGGAGGCCTAATTCTGCATTGAGTCACCTTACCGAGAGCTAAACCACAACAGGGTCTCTTTTTTTACAGCAGGTAGGGAATTTTGTGTTCATTTTAATACCCCATGCCTTTCTTATTTGCATCCCTAATTTAAAGCAGCTCTATATACATTTCCTGCAGATACTTTATGGTAGTACAAAATAATTAAAAACTTAACATGGGTGAATCATAAACCAATCACCCATTAAATAGGGGGCTCTAACCTGTAATAGCACCATTCTCTGAGAATGTATACTGTATGTGCAGATGCGCTTATCGCATTTCTCATATCTGCTTTCCATATGTGACCTTGTAATCAAATATGCCACGCTTGGATAACATTAATTTTAAAGTGATATATGAAAATGTAAATATGCTACACTGTATAAGAAAATCCTTTAAAAGGAAATGTATACTTTTTGTATAAGTTCAGAAGTCAAAAAATAAATTCAAAAGTTGTAACCTTTTTTTTTTTTTACTGTATATATGAAAGATGGCATATAAAAAAATCATACTTACCTTTGCAGCCAGCTCCTTTTCACATGTTTATCTGTCTATGCTTAGATGTTCTGTTTAAAAAAAACAAAAAAACAACTGTTGTTTCCAGAGCCCAATAGCTGAAGAGCATAATTGCGCAGAAAGCTAAATCAGTCTAAGTGATACCTCCTCTCCATCTGCCTCTGCCTGGAGTGTTATTCAGAAGTAGTCTGAAGGCAAAATGCTTTGTTCTGTGATAGAAAAAATATATATAAAACATCAGTTTAAAATGTATAAAGTTTTACAACTTTTAAGATTACCTTCACAGATAGATACCTTCATTCTCCTTCCTCGGGTGGACCTCGCTTATAAGACCTTCTTCTGCTGTACTTATGGGTTGCTCCAGCTGTACTGAAGCAGTGCAGCTGAAAGCAGTGCAGATCTCATAGACCAGTGAAATCTCCACCCACCCCTCCTTTTGACAATTCACAAAATGGATCCTGGGGCCATGTGTTTTGTGAATGGTAAGAAGAGTAGGTGGAGACATGAGCCTGCAGCCCTAACAGCCATATAATTCACTGGAGGACCATGAGACAGAAATCTTGTCTCATGTTCCCTCCAGGGAATTCCCCAAATGAAGCTATAGCAAACATACTGAATGGCTGCTTTAGATAGGGTGGGGAAGACTTAGAGCTGGTTTTTATTGTTATCTGGATCTCTGTTAGAGAGATTTTCCTTCACTTACTGTCCAGGTGACAGCCATTTTGCCATACAGGAAGTTAAAGCCCAGGTAAACATTCAGTGTACATCAGCTAAATATATTATTTATTGCATAAAAACAAAAGGTGTTCAATGTCTAACAGTTAATTTACTTTTTAAAGCAGCCACAGCCTAAAATGAAAACCCTTTCCCTTGCCAGGAGCTACAGAGTAGGACCCTTGCTCTATGTGACGAAGCAGTGGTTTCTCTGCAGAGGTCTAACCTGCCCCCTACTTAGTCAGACCTATACCTTTGCAATCAGAAAAGCTTGTGCTCATTGCTGATTGGAAATCTCTTGCTCTGCCTTAGCAGGGAGCATGTCAGACCTCTCCAATAAGACCACTGCTTCCCCACAGATAGCAATAGTCCAATTCTTTATCGTGCTGGCTGGGCACAGGCTTTTTTACTGTGGCTGATTTTTATTTTTTTTTAAAAAGACGTACACCTTTAATATTGATGCACCTGGAATGTTTTGTTTGATTTAAACTAAAAATTTAGTTGGGCTTTGAGGGAAATTTGCAATAGGGGTACAGATAGCAATATAAATCTGTCAGGGATTTTAGCTTTTGACGACTTTACTAAATAAAAGCATTTTTATTTCAGTCCGTGTTGCTGCTACAGAGTTTTCCTTACTTCCTGTCTGATGAAACTGTTGTCACTGGAACAACAGTTGAGGGGAAATCTCTCACCAAAGGAGCACTGAATATCAGTGGGTTCTAATCTCCCACTCTACCCAAAACTAAAATAATTTATTTTTCTGAACTAGTCATTTGGTCCCTTTGTGGCTGGACGTACAGTGTACGTCTCCCGTCACGAAGGGGTTAAAGTGTTTTTTCACTTTTGCAGTCAAATTTGGAGAACACCTACTTGAGATTTGTTTCTTGTTCCCATTCACATACCATAACTTAAAGTAAAATTTTTTTTTTTCCCTCCCCCAATGTTAATGTCAGCACTTACCTTAAATGATGTCTCCTAATCCGATCTTCCTCTTCTTTCCTGTCCTTTTCAGCCTTCTCCCCAGCGGTGCGGTGGGTGTCCGATCCAGCGCTGACTGCTCTGCCCTTGCTGGCACTTCCGATCCCACGGTGTCTGCATGCGGGTGCACGCGTCCATAGACTTACCTTACGTCTCTCCTCGTCTCCCGTCTGAAAATCCGAACTGCGCATGCGCCCTCCCCAAGATGTTTTGCGGCCGCCCGAGCAGTTTCGGATTCTCGGACGGGAGCGCGCGGCAAAGACGGGGTAAGTTTAAACCGCTGTTAAAGCGTTTTTGTTTTTTTTACTTTTTGCATATATCTATTGCTTGCTAGCAGTAGATATATGCAAAAAAAAACTGAGTTTAGAAACCCTTTAAATACCTGATCGGCCCCCTAAGGACCATGTAAAGAACTATATTAGCCAGAGCTACTACAGCACTTACAGCAATCTTCTAAATCCTGTATGGAGCTGTGGTGAGCAGCTTCCGCTCTGCTCTGAAACACAGAGGGTCGCTCGCTCGCTCGGCACAGCATCCATTTAGGGAACTCCAAGTATTTTTATCAATAAATACAAGGTTTTATCTGATTGGATGAGGACTGGAGTGGTGATGTCATGATCTGCCCTTTGTCCAATCAGAGAAGGCCTTGCATTCATTTATACCTGGAGTTTAGAGAGATGGCACAACAAACATATAGCGGGTTTTCTCAAAAAGTGAAAATACCCATCACATATATTTGTTTTGTGCAAATCCTGTCATTCATTCCTTCATTTTGGCTTAACACTAGAAAAAAAATAGCCTTAGTCACATCACCATTCTAGCAACATAATGATTGTGAAATAATCATGTAAACATCAAACAAATTACCAACTTGTTTCATGAAATTCACTGTGATCTTTTTCTGTTTGCAGGCAGGAAAGATTCATTTTGGCTACATGTACACAATGAGTATATTTGGTTGCCTGGGAATTCATGCGTTATTAAACCTGATGAGTATCACAGGTGTCTCACACGGATGTGTTGCCAGTGTCTTGGGTTACTGCCTTCTGCCTATGGTAATACTGTCCTGCTTTGCCATCATATTTTCTCTCCAGTAAGTACCACGATTCTTAAAATGTTATTTTTCATGTGGATATATTTTAAACGTGAATGACTTGTATAATTAAATAGCACAATGTATTTAGTAGAATGTAAAATTCAACAAAACAAACAAAAAAGTAGATAAACTGACAACTGTAGTGTGGTCACGCAGATAACTGTAAAGCTTAGGGGATTAGGCCCTAAGTCACCCTTACTGGACCCCCCAGTAAAGCTTTTACTGGACATTCCACCCCCTTGCTTTATCCCCCAATAACATTTACATTTTACTCTTCTTTTTGCTGC